GCGGAAAATAATACAGAAAATCCGGGTATTGTTTTGGAAAGCGCGAGGTTATGCGGAGATGACACGGGAAAAAACAAAATCAAAATTCAAATAATCACAAGTTTTTAAAATGATGATTATTATTTTAAGTCAAGAAGAAAAGAGGAAACTGATTTAAAAAGGAACTGATTATCAAGCTAAACAATCCCTAGAGAATTAACACTCTAAAATAATAATAATAATAATAATAATAATAATAATAATAATAATAATAGTAATATGATAATAATAATAATAATAAACTCTCGGATACCATCAATTGGAAAAATTTAGTATGTCTAAACAAAAGAAAAATAAACAAAAAATTGGAATAAGTCATGACTTACTTCTTCATATTCACACTCATCAGTCCAATGGCCAAAAACTAAAAGAGAGAGAGAGAGAGAGAGAGAGAGAGAGAGAGAGAGAGAGAGAGAGAGAGAGAGAGAGAGAGAGAGAGAGAGAGAGAGAGAGTGCTTAGCTTCCTATTACTCTTCCCTCATATGATAAAAAGTAAATATACACAATCAGTCTAACCTCTATAACAGACACTTTAGGGCATATAAGCAGGAGTTTATATCAATTCTTAGTAGGGGAAGTTATTGCATTAAAAAATGCATATACATGTACTGTATTGCTTTTAAAGAAGGGATTCTTTTCAGTTTAATCTTTCCTCATATAATCTAAAAACTACTATGATACCTTCACAGTTTTCACAGTAGGGCCTCTCTTGGGCTCTGATCCCGTGATGCATGGAATGTGGAGGGGATTGATCAGCTGCTTGTAACGGACAGTCTGCTGTGTCATGCAAATCAAACTCGTCACAAATATCACAGAACACTCGAGGAGGAGGTAACTGACTCCCCAACATGTCATCCTCACTAGTATAGCTGAAGGGAGAGGGAGAGAGAAAGAAAGTATATTGATTATTATTGATACAAAAACATCATTGACACAAAATTCAAATAAAATGCAACTATAGCTTAGGTTAGTATGTAGCTACTACAGCAGATAATAATAATAATAATAGTAATAATAATAATAATAATAATAATAATAATAATAATAGTAATAATAATCTTTTTTTTTTGTTTTGTTTCACTTCTTTCCTTATTCTGTGTGTCTTCTGTCTTATACTTTTTGTAATAATAATAATAAATAATAATAATAATAATATTAATAATAATAACAATTAATCAGTGAGAGTGGGAGGAATGGGAACCATGTACTTTACATTGGTACAATGAAACAAGTAGTCATTAGTACACACTAATACAGGCAATAATGCAAATGATAGTAATGTCATTTAATTAGCTTCTGGGAGATGAATGCAGATATATTCTACTGAGTCTGGGACTTAAAAACACACTCATTATCATACACGTACAACTGTAAGTAGTAGTAGTACCACACACAAAACTAAGATTTTATTTATACGTATTATTATTATTTAAGAAACAGCTACAAATAGCACAATTGAGCTAAGATATAAATGTACATATGTATATCTAGGTAAAAAGGCATTCTCTAATGTCTCATGTATAGAATGGGCAGCTCTAAAGAACAGATAAACTAAAGGAAAAGCTAATGTAAAAGTAGGTACATGTAAAGTTGGTGAAATATGCCCTGCTGCTATATGGTATGCAATTCTTTGTGGAGTAACTGTTGTTCTAGTGCTCAGAACACATGCTTAGCTAGTTATAGCAATAGGCATTCTCTCAGTTTGGAATTTACAGAATTGGGAAGTGTATGTATATACACAATCATATAGCCCCCAAGTGATTAATAATAATAACAAGACCTGATAGTGAAGATAATAATAGTAATAATCATAATAATGATTTTTAAATAATAATAAATAATATACATTTTCGTAACTGTAAATTAAGCTCTAAATTCTTTGCATTAAATTGCAGGCAGTGGGGGTACAAATTAGGAAGTATATCAATTTACAAAATTTCTGTGAAATACAATCAAATGTTAATTTAGTTAGTAACAGAAGTGTATACTACTCACCCTAACATTGTAGCCTGATCTCCCAATCCATTGAGTGACTCCAAAGATTCTACCTTCAGCTGTAACTCCGCAATGACAGAATTAAGGAAAGTAATCTACAACAAAACAATAATAATAATAATAACAACAAAGGTGATGGTGATCATAAAGGGAGTTTAAGAGGCTTTTCCTAAAATCTCTCTTTTTAGTTACATGTAGATCAATCTCCCCAAATTTATTTATAAATCTAATAATAATAATGATAATGATGGAGAAGGAGCTCACTTCTTGATCTTTGTCTTGCAAGGAGGCCTGGAGTGTTCTATTGTCTTCCTTTAATTCTAAAATAATCTGAGAATCTGCGAGGAAGGTCAGAGAGTAAAATTTTAAAATCATGAAAATTGTATTACCTTGCTCTCCTCCAGTGCCTTTGGTATTCAACTGATTAACTAGTTCCTCCAATCTCAACTTCTCCTTCTCTAAAACAGCAAGTCTCTAGAGACAAAGAAGAGAAGAGAGAGAGACAAAGAGGTGAATGTGTACAAACTACAAAGTGTCATTATTTTAGTCTTACAGGATCATCAGTTGAGTTACTGGATAATATGACAATCTCTTCTTCAAGACTTGACACCTGAGGGAAGGAGAGAAAGAAAAAGAAATTATTACATTTTCTGATACTATACTATAGACTATATACTATTATATTCCCTGTACTATAATAGTACAGGGTCTCTGGCCAAATTTCACCAAAAATGAAAAGTAGAGAATTCTCAATTTTTATAATATTTTCTGATACATTATGTTGCATATAAAGTTTGAACTGATTCTGATCAAAATTGGATTTTTTAAATTAATTTTTAAAGTAGCTCAAAAATCGGGCCAAAGACCCTGTACTATAGTATAAGGTTTTTGAAAGCTTGATCTGATTCTTATTATAATTTCATGATACAATTAATCACAGACTCTACTAACTCTTTCTTTGCTTTCTTCCAGTTCTCTCATTTTTTGTTCCAATCTTTCCTCAGTCTCCTCAAGTTGTCCCTGTATACTGCCTGACTGTTGCTCTGTTACCAACGAATTGTAACTAGTGAAACAATAACAATAATAATAACAACAACAACAACAATAAACAATAATAATAATAATAATAATAACAACAACATAATGTTTTGTAACTAGTGAAACGATAACAACAACAACAACAATAATAACAGCAACTGTTGTATAGACCCTTCACTAAATTTGCTAAATTTAGTACGTTTATGTAACATAATTAAGTGGATTAGCATGTAAGGTATAATAACAATAATAGTAATTAAATGATACTTCACTAATAATAAATTAAATCAATTAAAACAAATTAATTTCATTTAATGCCTGCCCACTCACTGTTGTGTGACATCCTCCAGCTGGTCCTGGAGTTCGTTAATAGCCTTTTGATATTCTTTCGAATTCTCTATAAGCTCGTTTCTCTTCTTTTTCACTTTTTCCAAGTCTTCCAGGACGCCCTGAGCTTCCTGCAGGGCGACATCTCTCTCCTGTGTCATGCTTGACAGTCTTGCCTTTAGATCTGATATGACAGCCTCTGACATTTCACTACATTTAATATACAGTACACATAAATTGTCACAATTGTACAAAAAAATGTATTATTATTACAATTATTGCAAAAATATTTAATTAATTTTTTTTAAATTCCTATTACTGCATACATGTATATAGTTGGTACTTACACTTTCTGTTGGTTGGTCAGTTTCAGTTGCTCAATCTCTTCATTAAGAGCAGCAGATTCTCTTCTTGTTCTGTCCAACTCATCAGTATTGCTGTACAACTATTATTATTATTATTATTATTATTATTATTATTATTATTATGTTTGGTATAAAATAAAGTCGTGCAGTTAAAATTTTACCTCTTTCTGCAGTGATTCATATTTGATTTGAATCTCGTGGCTCTGACCCTGAGCCGCTCTGTCTTGATTCTTTAGATCAGCTACACTATGAAGAGCATCTTCTTTCTCTTGATTGGCCTGAGAGAGAGAGAGAGAGAGAGAGGGGAGAAGAAAATATTACATGCAAGAAGAAATATTAAAATTAATTGCACACTTTAAAATTAGATTGTTTCATAAAATTACATTTAAAAACAGTCGAAAAAGGAGTTCAGAATGGAATTAAAGAAAACACTTACTTTCTCTAGCAAAGATTTCATTTCTCTCAGTTCTTGCTTGAGTTGATCTCGCTCCGTCAAGAGGTCAGAGTTCTGTTGGGCGAGGTAGCCCTGCTCACTGGTAACTGAGGAGGACTCAGCCATTAATCTGTTACACTGACTCATAGCGCTGTCTCTCTCATTAATCAACTGCTCTGTGCTAGAAAGAAGACTTTGCTTCTCTCCTGTAACTCTCTCAAGATCTCGGAGCGTCTGTCTGCAGTGAGAAAAGGATACATGATCATGTACATGTACATGTACAGTAAAATACAAGTGAATATTGTTTAACACAATCCATCCATATATGTACATACATGTACATGTACATGTATACTAAAAGATGTAGGTTTTAAAAATAATTACATGTACAGTACATGTGTATGTCAATATGGAATTTTTTTTATAATTTTTAATCCCTCTCTCTTTCTCCTTTACTTCTTCTCTTCATCAAGTGTCTCCATTTCACTTAGTTTCTCTTCCAGGAGTGTCTCTTGTTGGGCGCAAAGTTCAAGAGTTTCTTGGAGCTGTAGCTTCACTGTGTCCAGCTCAGACTGAAGGTCTTTAGCAGCTGTCTCTGTTGATTTGAAATCTCCCTAATAACAAAAAAAGAAATATTATTATCATTTAATGTGGAAAGACTATAAGTTAAGAGATACCTCAGCTGAAGTTAGGGCTAGTTTTGCTGCATTCACTTCAGTCTGGAGCTGCTCTTTCTCTCTCTCTAGCCTCTCAATTTCTCTATAAAATAAATGAAAGATTGTACACAGACATGCAGAATATACTACATGTACATGGATTTTCTTAATGGTTACTATAAAAATAAAACCTCTCTCTCTCTCCCTTACTTGTTCTTCTCTTCTATGATGGTGTTATCAACTGAAGGGGCTCCAGTTGTTGTTGATTTAAGTGTCTCTAATTCTGACAAGCTTGATTTCAACTCTTCCTCAGCTTCTACAAATCAAAAAAAATTTAAGAGAAATTGGCATATTTTAGATCGCCATAACTCAAAAAATTGAAGTGGGAATTGGCTCAAACTTTCTACATAGCATAAGTACATCAATATGTATCAGAAAATGTAATAAAAATTGGGGGTGATTCCGGAGCCATTTTTCAGAAAAAACCATGGGCTATAGTACAGGGGATTTTTCCGAAATTTGGAGTTTTTAAAAACTGGTCATAACTTCAAAAATTGAAGTCGGAATCGGCTTAAACTTTCTACATAGCATAAGTACATCAATATGTATCAGAAAATGTAATAAAAATTGGGGGTGATTCTGGAGCCATTTTTCAGAAAAAACCATGGGCTATAGTACAGGGGATTTTTCTGAAATTTGGAGTTTTTAAAAAGTGGTCATAACTTCAAAAATTGAAGTCGGAATCGGCTCAAACTTGCTACATAGCATAAGTACATCAATATGTATCAGAAAATGTAATAAAAATTGGGGGTGATTTCGGAGCCATTTTTTTGAAAAAACCATGGGCTATAGTACAGGGGTACATATCACAAAATTGGCATATTTCACGCCTCAAAAAAGCACAAGAACAATAAAGTACATGTTTATAAAAGAGCAAAAAAACATCAAGACTTACTTTTTCTCTTCTCTTTCTCTTCCTCTAACTGTGTCTTCAGCTGCTGTAATTCCGTACTTTCTCTGGTCGAGACTTCTTCCAGTTTGTCTCCACTAATAATGTCTTGTTCTTCGAGCAGGAACTGCAGGTCTTCAACTTTCCTGTTAACAGTGATGCCGTCATTATGTCTATTAATTATTACAGGATGACGGCATAATGTGTAGAAGGATATGAATCGCAAAGATTGGAATTGGTTTCAGCTAAAACACAAAACTTCATATTTTAAACTATTATTAACTAAATTTAGGAGATTAATTATGATAATGTACGCATACGCACTACTACATTTCAAACTAATTTTTCTAAATTTAGTAACGCAATATCAATGATGTAACCATATACTAAATTTAGTATTGTGCTTGCTAAATTTAGTCACGAAAATGTACCAGTAACAAGACAATACTAATATAAATAATGTTTAATGTACCTTCTTAATTCTGTGGTTTCCTCTGATAATTTCACTTTATCTTGCTCCGATTGTTCGAGACTCGATTTCAGTGTAGCTATTTGGTGGTTTTTCTCAAACATGATGTGAGAGAAATCGTTGCCACTTGTGTCAGAACGGGCAGGAGAGATGGGCTCAGGTTCAAGAGGAAGATTCTATAAAAAGAAAAAAAGAACACATGATTATAGTATTAGCCAAAATGATAATCTATGAAGAATCATAACATATCAAAATTGTGTCTGTTACAAGTAATATTTCCTGTAGCGTATACATGAAATGATAAACTTGTACATGTTAACAATTAACATATAGTGTCTATCTGTACATTGTGTAGACTTGTGATGGTTTATGGGGTTACCTGTTGTTGCTGTAACTGACGGAGAATCCCTTTTGAAGAGAGAGAAGAGACTGAGGAACCTGGAGAACCGCTCAGGCCTCTGATTGAACGACGACTAAGATCAGCTAAGAGAGGGAAAGAGAAAGAGAGAGAGAGAGAGAGAGAGAGAGAGAGAGAGAGAGAGAAGGGGGGAGAGAGAGGGGGAGATACATGTCATGTTAACATAGTGGGTGACTGGGTGTATTGCACAATACAAACTAGTTTAACAAGACTAGCATTCAAAGCTACAAACAGAACACCTAAACAAACACAATTACACAAATACTCCAAACCAGACCTTATATAGAAGTATGGCTGCAGTTATAATAAAACTTACCACAGAAATAATAAGCCGTATACAATGAACATACCAAAGAATATATCATGATATTGAGTTACTGCATACCTGTGGGACCAATTCTCTCTACTTTTGGTAGTGGAGCAAATAGACCATGAGCTGCTTCACACTGGAAATACCTATTAATATACATTATTATTATTATTATTATTATTATTATTATTATTATTATTATCATATCATTATTATTATAATGTAATAAATAAGACTATAAAAGGTTGTTTCATATATCCTATCCTACAACTTAATATTATATAAATTTGTTCTGAATGCAAGCACTAAACGTTTAGATGTACACATGCAGTTAGCACAATATCAAGCAGGCTTATACATAGGTAAGCTCTCATTATAATAGGACTAGGAGTAAAGGCACATGTGTATAATGGCTGTATGGTATGTCTAGTCCCCTGCTAATGTTAAAGGTTAGCTCATTACTACTGACTAATGCTCTAGAGACAAAGGTGACCATTTAATGGAAACACATTACTCTCCCTTCTCTCTCTCCCTCTCTCTCTCTCACCACACTGTCTACACAGATGAGTGGACAAGGAACACTGTATTTACTATCAGGAGGTTATGCTCTCTTGGTGACACACATGCACATGTACATGTACACAAACAATTTGTTCAAGGTAATAGCAAGACAACACAGAGTATGAAGGAGAAAAGAAAAAGCGAGACTTAGACCAAATATGGGAGAACAAAAGCCTCCTAAACTCCCTCTAGATCTAACGATGTAAATGTACAACTAACACACCTCTTTCCAGAGACTGCTCCGTCATTTTTTCCCTGCGCGTCATCAAGTTCCACTCCCACCCATATGCCTTTAGCAAAGTGTGTCGGACCCAGAAATCTTAAAGTTCCTTCTTTACTGTTATTAACTAATACCCTGTCCCCAATACGAAGTGTCTCTGCCTTCTTTTTGAGCTCTGAGGGATCGGCAGGAGTCACGCCCCCACTTGATCTCGTTGATTGATTAGTGGGCGTGGCTGCCGTGTCTAGAGTCAATTTGATTGGACGAGTAAAGAGCCCGTGATTAGGGGGGCAGGTGAAATATTGGACCCCACCAACTTTCCCATCGTTTTTACCCTCGGGAGCGTCCAAAGAGACTCCAATCCATGTACCTTTAGCGAATTGTGTTGGTCCCACAAAAGAGACAGTTCCTTTCTTACCCCCGTCCGCAATTACCCGGTCCCCTAAACTAAATTCTGGCTCTCCACTCTCAGAGGATTGTGATGGGTGTGGTTTCTGTTGCTGTGGCAACGGGCTCAATTTATCCAACTTGGCAAACAACCCGTAGTTAGGTGGACACTTAAAATAAGCCACACCCTTCACGGATCCGTCGTTCTTCCCATCCGGAGTGTCTAATATGATCCCCGCCCACACACCCTGAGCAAATTGGGTGGGGCCTATAAAAGCAACTTTCCCGGGCTTTTCCCCGCCAACTAAAACAGAGTCTCCGACCTGGTACGGGAATGAGTTTGCTTGCGTGGGCGTTGTTCTATTCGGCGGTGTCTGGGCGGGTGGACGAGCCTGGGGGGCTACATGTGATTTGGTAGGACCTGGTCCCACTCCAGCCGTCATTGGGGGACGGATTAGACCGCTAGGAGGACGGATTGCTCTTGGGCCTACGGCTCCGGGAGCTCTCAGGCGACTCATGGCAGCAGATAAAAATGGTTCTTCGCTTTCTTCTTTTTAAAAAGTTCCTGCCTTTCTCTCACTTCCAATCGATCTTTTATAATAGAGGTGTGGTCACATGAAATAGGCGTGGTTTGCTAGTTATTAAAATAGGAGGGACAAGAGTTATTAAATTAATTATGGGTGTATTCTATTATAATGAATATTGTTTCTCCAGGTCACAAATCATGTCTATTACAGCAATTTTACTGTTTCTCTCTCTAAGTCTACTTCCCTATGATACTGAGGGCGTAGAAGCTGATCTTGTCCTCATATCAGACCCAGGAGAAGCTGTTTGCCTTGATGGATCCCCACCAGGATACTACTTCAGGAAAGGTCTGAAACTGCATGCAGTGTTCATATTATGTTGATGTAGCTGTATATACTTTTAAAGTAGCAAAATGCAGTGGGCAGTATAGTTATGAGGAATTAAAGATCAAAGGCAGTCAAATTTGGACTTTGTCTATCTCCTTTTTCACTAAAACCAGTCTTACATTGTACACTGCATTATACACTGCATGCATAAATTGTAGTGTTGTTTTAGTATGGTACAAGAGTTTTAGTTTTAGTTTCTTATTTCTATAATTTTAAGTTTTAGTTTTAGTTTTAGTTATGCTATGGCAATAATTTTAGTTTTAGTTTTAGTTAAGGAAAACAGCTCACTAAAATAGGTTTTAGTTTTAGTTATTGTTAACTAAAACAACACTAATAAATTGTTGTACTTATGCAGGTACTGGAGCCGGAGCTGATAACTGGATAGTTCACTTGCAAGGAGGAGGATGGTGCTATGATGAAGAAGCCTGTCTAGAGAGGAGCAAGACGGACATAGGATCATCAAAGAAGTGGAAACCAACCGAAGACTTTGGGGGTTTGCTTTCGGACGACCCAACGCAAAATCCAGATTTCTATCAATGGAATATGGTCCGTATCAATTATTGTGATGGAGCCTCATTTGCTGGATATGTGTAAGCTGAATTAAAGTATAGTAACAAGCCAATACATCCTTCCATTTATTTATACAACAGTGATAAAGCAGTTGATGTCAGTGGTACAAGTATATACTTCCGTGGGTATAAGATACTTCAGACAATCCTCCAATCAGTTATGAGTAAAGGAATGAGCAATGCCAAGGAAGTTATACTAACTGGATGTTCAGGTTTATAATCAATTTTAGTAGTGCTGTTCTAGTTATTAGTTGAGTTGTTATTCTATTTAATTTTATTAATTTTTAGCTGGTGGGCTTGCAACATACCTTCATGCTGACTACGTTATGTCACTTCTTCCTCCAACAGTAAAGTACCACGCAATAGCTGATGCAGGGTAAAAATATTGTATAATAGCTTATTAATTCTGTAAATTAGATACTTCATTGATGCTCCTGATGTCAATGGTGACATGCACATTAGAGGCCTATATACTTATGGTTAGCTGGTAGATCTGTATGAATGTGATTTATTTAAATTATTTTATTCCACTGCAGTATTCAATATGCAGAAATGCAGTGATGGTGTCAATCAGAAGTGCATTGAGGCCTACAAAGCAACCAATGAGACATGGAAGTGCTTTATGGCTCAAGTTAGCTTTAAATCTAAATCTATTAAAGCATGCTCAATCTCTCTCTAGTACACTTATCCTCATATTTCAGCTCCTTTCTTCTCCTTAAACTCTCAAGTTGACACTTGGCAGCTTGCAAACATACTACAGCTAGGCTGCACTCCACCAAGATGTACTCCAACTCAAATGGAGCAGTTTGAAAAGTTTTATGAGGTAAATCCTATTACTTAAACTCCATAACTTATTTATTCCTTTAATGCAGGAGTTTAAGAAGGCATCAGCACCTATAGTTTCTTCAGAAACAAATGGAGCATTCCTTATTTCTTGTTTGACACATTGCCAGTCAACTAGTTCCGGATGGACAAGTCGATTAATCCAAAATCAAACAGCAGCTGCTACATTCGGTGACTGGTACTTTAGCAGAACCGGAATAAAGAACAATGTTGATTGTGCCTACCCATGTAACAAGTCATGCTGAGGCTGAACTGCTAACTTTATGCTGCTTATAAATGCTAGCTGCATATATAATACTGCAATGTCATTAGCTCTTGATTTTTAATTAAAATGTTTTTGCTTTGCTGGTGAATGTTTTATTTACCAATGAATTTGCTTAAAATGCTGACCTCTTTCCTTCTCTTCCTCTCTCTCTTTCATTTCCTCACTGAAGCCAGAGAGGCAGATCTTGTTCTCCTCCATGATTCAGGAGAAGCTGTCTGTCTTGATGGCTCTCCCCCAGGCTATTACTACAGACCAGGTGAAACAGCTATAGCTTCGTGTCATAAGAATATTATCATCTACACATTCTATAGGTGTAGGAGCTGATGCCAATAACTGGATACTGCACTTGGAAGGAGGTGGGTGGTGTCCCAATGAAGATAATTGTCTAGATAGAAGCAAAGGCACACTTGGGTCTTCGAAAAATTGGACCCAAACCACGTCTTTCTCTGGTTTCTTGTCAGATGAACAAGAATATAACCCAGACTTTTACCAATGGAACGTTGTGTTCCTTAAATACTGTGATGGAGCCTCATTTGCTGGTTATGTGTAAGCTCATGTATGCTTCATGAAAGGATGTATATTCTTAATCTTAATAGTGCTGAACCAGTTAATGTGAAAGGTACTAATATATACTTCCGTGGGTTTAAGATACTTCAACTGATCCTCCAATCAGTGATGGATAAAGGAATGAGCAATGCCAAGGAAGTTATACTAACTGGATGCTCAGGTTTATATAATATAATAACTAACAACATTTTTAAATTTGATATTTTGTTTTACAAATTTTAGCTGGTGGACTTGCAACTTATATTCACACCAACTATGTCAAGTCACTTCTGTCTCCTACAGTTAAATTCCATGCCATTGCAGATGCTGGGTAATACAGACCACGTTATTTTAGTGTTTTTTTAGTAAAAATGAATACAATAGATACTTCATTGATGCTCCTGATGTAAATGGAGAATGGTACATTAGGACATTCTACAGTGATGGTCAGCAGAGCTTATTCACATGCATTAAATAATAAAATTGATTTATCATTTTAGTATTTAATATGCAGAATTGCTCAGATGGTGTTAATCAAGACTGCATTGCAGCATATAAAGGAACCAATGAAACGTGGAAATGTTTCATGGCACAGGTTTGAATAAATTTGCTACTTATTAAAATGGCCATAAAAATTTAGTTAGACAACTTTCTACATACAATAGAGCATTAGGCATCAGTATGTCTCAAAAAATGTAATAAAAATTTGGGGTGATTTTGGAGCTATTTTTTGGAAAAAAACCATGGGCTAATAGCCTTGGCTATTTTTCAAAATTCTCACGTTTTATTAAAATGCCCGTAACTTAATAAATTGGAGTCGGAATTGGCTCAAACTTTCTATACAGCATAAGTACATATGCATCAGAAAATGTAATAAAAATTGGAGGTGATTTTGAAGCCATTTTTTGAAAAATTCCCAAGGACAGAACTAAAAAAAGGACAGAACTAATTAGGAGTACTGAGTATAAATTGTAGCTGGGTAACTACCAAACATAAAATAATTGCCAAGTTTTATTTTAATTACTCCTTGTGGTACGGTAATATCATCATCCATCCAGCTGAATGTTATCTCATTAAGAATATCAAGAGGTAATTGCTCATAAGTAGCTTCAGTGTCTTCTATTAATGGAGTATCATTACCTCTGTACTTTGCAAATATTTTTGAAAGTTTTGGGTTGAATTTTCCACCATGAAATGCAAGTAATATAAAGTGATCTCCATAGGAATTCTTTATATTTCCTCTCATCACTCTAGCTGACATGAGTCGCCCAAATGCACTCGTATAAAAATGAACTGCTTTACTTCCTTCTTTTACATCAACTGGTAATAATGGATACTCAGGGTAAATACAACTCTTTACATCTGCTATTTCTTTTGTTAGCTTATCTACTTCTTTCCTCATTTCTTGTTTTATTTGTTCATTTTCTTCTTTCAATTGTTCATTTTCTTTCTTCAATTGTCCACAAACTACAGCTAATAGTGTCATGTGTTTAGTATCAGCAGTGTGTTCATCTATATCTTTACGTAATGGCTTATCATTACAACCAGCCCAACTTAACACACAATCTACTGACTCTAATGGACACTCTCTATTCACATGAGCAGTGACACTATGTCGTGGCATATTAGTAGACACACATTTATTGGGACAAGTAACAGGATACTGCCTGCATTCCTCATAATGATCCTTTGTAATAGAGAGAAATGTACCTTTCTTTCTGCAGTATTGGCATTGAAATGGACGCTGAAGGCATTCTGTATTTTCATGACACCTAAGATATCTACGTTGCTTTCTCACTTGACATTTTCGATATCGACACTTTACTTCTTCATATTGACATTCTCCTTCTCTCTTCTCTTTATTAAGATGAGTAGACATATTCTTCAATTCTCCTTTCCAGTAACATCCTTTCTCTTTATTACTGCAGTACACCTCCAATCCATTGATAATACGTGAACATTTCTTGTCAGCCATTGTTCGATATTTCTTCTTATTACACATAGGACAGGATCCATTACTAGCTTTTACTCTCTTAATACAAGACCCACAGAAATTATGTCCACAGCAGCTCACCAGATGAGGATCTGTCAAGATATGAAGACAAACTGGACACTCTATCTCCATATGCTCAGGCAATTCTTTAACAAAGGAAAACTCTTCTTTACTGAAATGGGCCATCGCCATACTCTTACAGTAATAAGGCTATGAATAAGGTAAGAATGTTATAACATCATGTGATCCTATACACTGTGCCTGACCACAACTTCCTTCCTGGTAATTATTGTTATGTTGACATACGTGTAATTGTGGATCCAAGATGTCATGGAGCACTGCGCAAAAAGGCAGAAACAACTCATCTGAAATCAAAAGACAGAGGTACAGGATCAAGGCAGAGGGAAACCCTCTGTCAAAGTTTAAAAGAATGTCTGATTGATAGGTGCATTATAAAATGTGTCATGAAAAGCAATATGTGGGTTCAATGTGAGAAATGCAAACAATGGTTTCATATCAAATGTACCGGGTTTAGTTCTAAGAAACAAGTAGAAAAAAGACTTTAGACTTAAATGCTGCTTAAATTGTAAAAGCTCTTCCTTGTTCCTTCCCACAGACTATTTGTTCATACAGTTACTGATACAAATGGTTATAACTGTTATAAATAGTTGTAGTGTTATAAGTACTACCTTCCCTTCGTTTTCTATTACTTTTGAGTTTTTTGGTTACATAGAGCATTGGGTATTTTCAAAATTTTGACGTTTTCTTAAAATGGTCGTAACTTGAAAAACTGAAGTTGAAATTGGCTCAAACTTTCTAGGTAGCATAAAGACATTAATATATCAAAAAATATAATAAAATTAGGAGTGATTTCGGAGCCATTTTTGGAAAATACCCAAGGCTATAGCCTTGGGTATTTTTTCAGAATTTTGGAATTTTCTTAAAATGGCTGTAACTTGAAAAATTGAAGCTGGAATTGACTCAAAATTTCTATACAGTATTAGTACATGAATATGCATAAGAAAATGTAATTTAACCATTTCTCTCTATCACAGTATACTTATCCCCACATCTCTTCTCCAATCTTTTCGTTTAACTCGCAAGTCGACACTTGGCAGCTGGTAGCCATACTAAAACTTGAATGCAAACCGCCAAATTGCACAGAAGAACAAATGAAGCAATTCTTTAACTTCTACGAAGTAAGAAGATCATTATAAAAAAATTAGAAATCTACAAGAATGTATCTCTATTTTTAGGAATTCAAGAAAGCATCAGAGCCGATAGTTAGCTCAACAGTAAATGGAGCATTTCTAGATTCGTGTTTGGCTCATTGTCAAACACTGGATAATCAAGGATGGGCTGTCAGATCAGTACAAAATCAAACTGGAGCGACTACATTTGGGAACTGGTACTTTGAGAGGTCTGGTTTAAAGAATATTGCTGATTGTAGCTACCCATGCAACAAATCCTGCTAAAGAACAAGCTGAACTACTAATAATTTATGCTTAATTTGCTATAAAAAGATAATGCTATTTAAGACATAATTGCATCATATTTTTACTTATGTCAAGTTTACAGTTGATCCAGATCTCAGTCTCTGTGACTTCTCTAGCACAGCAATCTTTTTATCTCCAATAGTGCTAAGGGATAACTTCACATGAGGGGCAGAAGACAGTGCCTTTAATAGAAGAGGCTTGGCTGAGTTGTGGCCATAAAAAGAGAAAAGGTCATTACTGGAGGTGTACTGTAAAAGGATAGAAGAAAGAGAGAAGTGATCAACAATAGAGAGGAGATACTCACCAGTATGGCAATGGACTGAGAATGAGCTAAGCCTTGGAGATCTCTGATCAATTGAACAAGATGTGGTAATACTAGGAAGACAAAAAATGACAATTCTATCTTCTATCTATCTTACATTGATTCCCCATTAGTGGTATTAGTAATGATACAAGTGAGTCTATTACAATCAAGTGCAATTGACTATAAAACTCACTAGCCTATTGTGTAATAGAAACAGTTTGAAACAATCATGGCAATAATTCATCAACTATTACAGTGACTACATTATGCATAATGTTACCTGCTTCCTAATGCTTTCCTTTAAATCCTGTATCAATTGTAAAAGCTCAAATAAGTTGGAAACCTGAAATACAACCAATTTCTTCAAAATATCCCCATCCTATATTATCATCATCATCATCATCATCATCATTATTATTCTTGCCTGTTGATATTCCTCTGTAGGAATGAATTGCTTCAGCCTCAAAGAAGAGAAGCTCCCATTAGTATCAATATAAACTGCAGTAGACATTGTATGTACAATAGTATGAGCTGAAGCATTAAGGCATAGCTAAAATAATAAAATAAAACAATAAATAATTAATTTCTAATTTCTATTTCCCGCACTTGTGTTTTTCCTACAGACGACTGTCCTGATATTTCTGTGAGTTCACCAGTAAATACGCCCCCACCTAGTAATGAGTCGATGCTAAAAATAGAATCTATAAATAGCACACGCTAAGTCTGTGTACCTAGGAATCCCTGTTGAGAGAAAGGCAGAGCTGGTCTTCATTTGTTCCCAGAGGTTGGCAGCTGTTACTGGGAATGACGAATATATGGAGAGCAAAGAACGTCTGATGCTAAGAACATCCTGTAATTAACTATTAATAATTAACTAACTGGTAATAATTAACTACAAATAATTAACTGGTACTGTTCAAAGACCATAAAAGATGCTTTTTTCTGCTAAAATTTGAAAGATCATAATCATATGCTTAACTTGAAGAGATAAAAGTGATATTTTGTTAGCAATGTCTGCTGATTCTCCAGTGACAAAATCAAACACTAAAAATGAAATAAAAATGAAAATAATCTGAAAGATAGAGACCTGTTCTTATTCCAGCTGCCTCCTCTAATTCATGGATAGCTTCTTTAGTGAGCAAAGGGCAAAGAGAGGGAGAAAGAACAGGCATGACAGCACGTGGTCTAGTAAGACCACACCTATAGCCCCTCCCATTGGTGGAGTATGTTTCATAGCAGTACACAGAAGTCCCATTGGCTTTTCCAGCACAGACAGCAGCTTACCCGCCAAAGAGCAGAAACCAATGCATCTTTCTGTCGCAAAGTACATAATAATAATTATTTTAAAAATATTTCCCCCATTGTTTCCAGTACTCAGATGCTGCTATCAGTAAGGTGGTGAAAAAGGAGCTTAAAATTAATTTATTTTGTAGGCAAAGAATGTCAGTTCCTGACCCCCACAGAAGAAGAATCAGTCTGCCTCTATTACATGAAAAAACTTTTTGAATTTTGCAACGTGTTCCGGCCTCCGGTCCCTAGAGGGGTTCTGGTAATTTTGAGCCCCCTTTGATTAATATTGATTTAGATATTGCATCTTAGGGTACAGCTGGGGCATATTTCAAACGTTTCTATCTCCTCACTTCAGTAATGGACTATCATCCGAAAGAAATATTGTAAGAAAAATAGAAATAATTTTATCATCATCATCATTATTATTATTATTATTAGTATTATTATTATTATTGAATAATTCATTGCTGTTAGTAAAAAAAATTGTATTTATGACTATTTTTATTCAGTTTGTCCTGTGCGTATTTGGCATTTAAGATTGAGGAGTACAATGTGTCACTTGACGAGTTTGTCTACATGCTATCTCCGGAATTACGTCAGTCCAGCTCTGAGATGATACTCAATAATGAAGTATGCATACAATTTACTTTTACTGGGTCGCCCAGCTCAATTTTGATTTGCTTACCAATTTTTGTTCCTAGTTAATGATGCTGAAAAGGCTCAAGTTTCACTTGACGATTCATTCACCTTTTAGACCACTGGAAGGATTCTTGATTGATATGAAGGTATTGAAATTATTGTTTAGAAATTCTTTCTATTCTTTCTTCCTTCTTTGTTTAATCTATCCTTTCTCTAAGACGAGGTCCTCTATTCCTAATGTGGAGCGTCTCCGTAAAGAAGCAGACTCATTCCTAATGAGTAGCTTATACTCTGATGTTTTATTTCTATATCCACCATCACAAGTATGCACAAACTTTAATTCTTTCTCTCTTTCTCTTTTTCATTTGATCATACAATGTATTACATGTAATCTCTACTTTATGCATAGATAGCTTTGGCTGCTTTATACTATGCTTCTACTGTCATTGAAGTGGATATATCAAGGTATGGGAGAGAGAGAGAGAGAGAAGGGGAGAGATAGAACTGAAATAAAGCATGTGTTTTTCAATCACAGTTATATAAAGGTGCAGCTTGCTGATACGATTGAGCAAGGATCTAAACTAGCCTATACACTGCAAGGTAGTTGGAGGAGAGAATTTAAAAGCAAAAATGAAAAAATCATAGTGATTTTTACTATTATTCTGCTCTCTCTCTCAGGGATTTGTGATATTGTAAGAACTGTTTTCGTGCCAGAGTCGTCTCAAGAGGTAGGTGTGGTTTGTTCCAATTAATGCACATCCAACCAGATAGCCCACATTTTACAAAGACTGGAAAAATGTTCTAGAGTAGTGCTTGTCTCTCCTCCGACCAACAGGTAAGTACCTAAAGACTAATATAATTACTGTCTGTACAAGTTAAGAGTATTTTCAATAATTTTTTTGTAGCAAGAGAAAAAGTGATGAAGTATCTGAAGTAGTATTAAGGAAGAAAATTAAGGTAACAACATTTCTTAATTTACATTGTTATCATTATACATGTGCATTCAAGGAGGAGCATGACGTAGAAGAAACTGGTCTGACGAGTTTGACTGGTTTTGGATCATTAACATGATTATATAAACAGTATAAAAATAATAATCACTAATTATTATAACAACAATATATTATTATTATTAATGATAATAAAATACTGTACAAAAATAATATTTTAAATGATATTGCAACTAGTTTGATTTACATTATCCTCTGCTGATTGATTGTGGTCCAAAGTGGATCTTCTACTTGTAATATTATTAATGGGGCAAGTTTCTTTTCCATTTTCAATTGGGGTATCAAAATCCTCAGGATCAACTGATGATCCAATATAGTCAGGCCCAAACTGACTTGTAGTGATGGTGGTTGCCTGGTGATCAGAATTTTGCTTTAAATCAGTAGTAGTATCATCTAATTCTACCACTACTTGTTGCTGGTCTACAATTGATGCTACGTAATGCGACCAGTTTGCTAGTTTGCGTGAGTTTTGTGCGGTCTCTTCGGCTAGTCTCTCAAAATCCTTCAAGGTTGAAATGTTCCCAGAAGCAGGAGGGGTGGAATCGACCACTTCTGAAGGCTCGTTAGTGTTCTTATCAAAGTCGATCGGATATGAAGTAATACTATTCCTTCCTTCTCTAATCTGCATTTGTATGATGCTGTCTCTCGGCTGAAGGAGATTCGGTAATAGAGAGATAATGGAGTATCTTGCACTTGATGTTGTGCGAGGAAAAGGAGGTAGATCATTTATCAAAGTCGAGTCGTCGTCTTCTTCTTTCATTCCATTTATTAGTCGTTCCATCTCGGGCCATTCTTCAGGTTTGGGTGATACTGAATTACGTGGAGTCCCGCCTCTAGTTGGTACAAGACTGTTTCTATGAGAACCTTGGGTCTCTCTGAAGCACGGCAATGGAGGAGACCCTAAAGGTCGGTTCGAAGGTCTCTCGAAAATCTCGTCGATTTCAGACGGAGAAATGGAACCTTTCTTTTGTGGCAAGGAAAGCTTCTTTTTCTGAAGTGGATTGAGGGATTGATTGTCTCCGTTAGTTCGCTTCTTTGATAAAACCCAGTACGTCTTCATCATACCTTTACCCTTTAAACAGAGAGAGAGAGGAAAGTGAAGAACAAAAGGAAGACAATAAGAGAGATAATAATTATTAGTATGACAGAGAACAGTTTTAAATGCAGCTACATATACAGTAGATATACAGTCTGCTTTATAATACAATGTTGTATGGTCAAACGTGTCTTTATTTCAAATTGTACATTTGAACTTTTATAATAATTATTATTACCTTTAGCTCAACTTCTCCTCTCTCTTGTACTATAAAGTCTGTTCCTTCCAAGTGATCAGCAGTTGCTTTACTTATGTGTATCTTCATTGGCTAAAAGGAAGAGAGAGAGAGAAGGGAAAGAGCATCAAAGTTACTGCTATGTTGTGTTACGTACAATCCCGGTTGCCTCCATTCTAGCAGCTGTATTCACTGTGTCGCCAAAAACGTCATATCTGAATATCTTAGAGCCAACGACGCCTGCTACAACAGTACCACTGTGAATACCTGGACAGTGAAATAGGATTTAATAATTTATTGGTCAAAGCATTTAAGTAATGTAATAAAAATTGACGCTTCTTTTATAGCCATTTATTAAAAAATACCCTGTACAGCCAATTTTTGTGCAGCTTTAAAATTCATAAAAAATCCAATTTTGATCAGAATCAGCTTAAACTTTCTACATAACATAAAAAATGTATATGCATCAGAAAAAATTATGAGAGTGAAGAATCCTGTACTTTTGATTTTTGACAAGATTTGCCCCGAGACCCTGATTTTGGAGCAACTTAAAAAATTCATAAAAAATCCAATTTTGATTGGAATCAGCTCAAACTTTCTACACAACATAAAAACATGTATATGCATTAAAGAAAGTTATAAAAATGGAGAATTTTTTGGAGCCATTTTTGAAAAAATACCCTGTACTATAGTACAGGGACTTTAGCCAAAATACTCAGTTTTTGATGAAAGCAGATTCTTTCTTTTATTTGAGTTATACACTATGTCTTACCAACTCTTATTTTCAGTGATTCGTGTGTCGATGGATCATTTATCTTCCCAATAGCTTCAATGATGGAGAATGCAAAATCTGTCATGTACTCAGCATGATGGGGCGTGGTCACTGGAGCACCTGCCAACGCCATGTAAGCATCGCCTATCGTTTGAACCTATTAATATAAAAATTAAATAATAGTTATGCATTATAATAAAAAATAAAAAAAGTAAAAATGTTCTATACAATAACATTGAATCATGACATATATTTGTGAAAGGAGACAATTATCAAATGCTAATAATGGATGGTGTGTCTGATCTATTCTATACCTACCAACAGATATTAAAGAAATGAATCTTTTTAGTGCCATCATATCACTAATAGCTATAACTATATTCATTGCTCTGTTACTATTAACTACAGTAGCTTAAAAATGCAAGGTCAAGTTAAGGGTGGGGCTGGAGGAATGGCTCAGTTTAGTAAAAAAGATCTTTCAATTGTTGAGGATCTTCCTAAGCAGGCGGAGATAGAGTGCCCAGTTTGTCTTAATATCTTGACAGATCCTCATCTGGTGAGCTGCTGTGGACATAATTTCTGTGGGTCTTGTATTGAGAGAGTAAAAGCTAGTAATGGATCCTGTCCTATGTGTAAAGACAGTGTCATAGCTGATGATTCATATCCATTGCTACCAATTGAAATTAGAAAAGAAAGTGAATCATTTCATTTTTATGCGAGTGCATGTGGTCAACACATGTCAGCTAGAGTGATGAGAGGAAATGTAACAAAAAAAGATGGAGATTATTTCATATTTCTTGCATTTCATGAAGGGAAATTTGATAAATTCAAGCCAAAACTTCCTAAAATATTTGCAAAATTATACGATAAAGATACTCCATTAATAGAAGACACTAAAGCCTCTTATGATCAATCACCTCCTGATATTCTTAATGGGATCAGTAGGTGGGATGACACTGTACCAAGAGGAGTGATTAGAATTAAAATAAATGCAGGAATCTATATTTTATTTGTATTGGCAATTACAATATATACAAAGGAATGATACAATATTCAACTATGTAACTACTACTACTTTCTCTTCTCTTCTATTACTGTTGCTAATGTTTTGTTCTCCTTTTCAATACAAAGAATTATCAAAAATAATAATAATGAGTGTCTTCAATCTCAGTGACCAATAGATATTTAAGTAAATTGAATTAAATAACAGATCATGAGCAACGAAGGATTTATAGCATACACAGCATAGTCTGTAAATGCTTAGAATTTAAAAATAACTAAGTGAATGTAAGCATTGAGGGGGCAAGCATGAGCTATCGACGTGGCTTAGCTTGACTTTATTGAAATAAAATAAAAATGATTCTAATCTAGCTCTTAGTCTAATGAGAGAGAAAGAACATTCATCTCTGTAGTCTGTGAGACCATAAATAGTTCTATATTTTTTGCACATATTTTTGGTTAATCTGTCATAGCAGTCACATGAAGTGAAGGTCACCTTTAGCCTTTAAGTTTCTCCTTTGGTTTCGCCCCTTTAAGAGATTGATAGCAGACTTAGCAGTCTTATAGATGTCTTCATTCAGTAAAGAAGAGCTTTCATTTGTTGAGGATCTTCCTAAACATCTGGAGATAGAGTGTCCAGTTTGTCTTAATATCTTGACAGATCCTCATCTGGTGAGCTGCTGTGGAAAAAATTTCTGTGGGTCTTGTATTGACAAGGTAAAAGCTAGTGATGGATCCTGTCCTATGTGTAAAGAGAAGGAATACCAAGTTGTGATTAACAAAGAGCGACTTCGTATTATCAATGGATTGGAGGTCTACTGCAGTAATAAGGAGGAAGGATGCCAATGGAAAGGAGAATTGAAGAATATGTCTGATCATCTTGATAAAGAGGAGAGAGAAGGAGAATGTGAATTTGAAGAAGTAAAGTGTCGATATGAGGAATGTCAAGAGAGAAAGCAACGTAGATATCTTAAGGATCATGAAGATAAAGAATGCCCTCAATGTCCATTTGAATGTCAATACTGTGGGGAAGAAGATACATTCCTCTTTATTACAGAGGATCATTATGAGTATTGCGAAGCGTATCCTGTTACTTGTCCTAATGAATGTTCGTCTGCTAATATGCCACGAGGTAGTCTTGATGGTCATATTGAAGAGTGTCCATTAGAGCCAGTAGATTGTGTGTTTAGTTGGGCTGGTTGTAATGATAAGCCATTACGTAAAGATGTACATGTACACACTGCTGATACTAAACACATGACACTATTAGCTGTAGCTTGTGGACAATTGAAGAAAGAAAATGAGGAAAGAAAAGAAGAAATAAGCAAATTGGAAGAAAAAGTAAAAAAATTAAAGGGCGAAACTCTCAATATTCACAATGTCATGGCTGATGATTCATACCCACTGCTACCAATTAGCATTGAGATAGGAAGTGAAGCAGTTCACTTTTACACAAGTGCATGTGGTAGGCACATGTCAGCTAGAATAATGAGAGAGAAAAAGGCATCATTTTTATCACAGTACTTCATATTTCTTGCATTTCATAAAGGAAAATTTGATAAATTCAAACCAAAACTTCCTAAAATATTTGTGAAATTATTAGATCAAGATATTCCATTAATAGAAGAGACTGAAGCTACTTATGATCAATCACCTCCTGATATTCTTAATAGGATCAGTAGGTGGAATGACACTGTACCAGGAGGAGTGATTAGAATTAATACAGGTATGTACATGTATTTAAGGGCAGACACATTTAGAATTCATACAAAGTAATGATAATTTTACTAGCAGTTAATTACTCAATAATAATAATGATAATAATAATAACATTAGCATTAGTATTCCTCTACTTCTATCTCTCTTTCTCTTCCTTCCATTTTACATTAATTTTTTCAGTAGATTAATTTTTTATAGTAGATTATTAATTCTTAAACTGCTTGTTTTTTGTATCCTCAATATTATGTCATGATTCAATATTATTGTACGAATACATTTAAACATTAAGCAAGAATGACCACCACTCACTCTACCCTGCAGCCCGAGACACAACTAACCTTATAAACATGGTGGACCTCACAAAGATTATCAAATGCCACATACATTGCATTCAATAAACTAACGACTTCCATTGGGCGGAGTCTAGCACACATCGGAGTAAAGCTCACAATATCACTAAACAATATACTGACACTTGAAAATACCTGACAATGAGAAAAAAATTTTTTTTAATAATTGAATAAAAACTATTAATTTCTTTATACTTTGCATGTGTTCAAAGGTGTTTCTCCATTCCTTAGCTTGTCTGCTATTTGTTTTGGAATCATTTGATATATCAATTCGTCTGTTTTTTGAATACTGTCCTCCAGCTGCTTAGTTCGTATCTTCTCCTGTGAATTAAAATAAATAAGCATTTGTATAAAATCATTATTATCATTCACTCTCTCTTCCTCTTCCTTCTCTCTCTCTCTCCCTTTCATCTTTATAATCACATTATTGCCTATACACAGTACATGTACATACCTCACTTCTCCTCTTTCTATTTACATTTTAATTAAACTCTCTCTCTCTTTCCCTCCCTTCCTCCCTCCTCCCTCTCTTGTACCTGATCGAGTGCAAGGTTCAGTTCAGGGTTCTGCTGAGATCCTGCCAGTATATACTCTCGTGTACAGTCATGCATAGCAAGGTCATTTATAAAAATACCACTTTGATATAAATCTTCCGGACTATCCATCCTACATATGTACACATTATTATTAACATTATAAGCCCAGTGTCTAGACACGAGGTAACATGTTTCTAGCAACTTTTGTGGCTACTTTGATCTTAATATCAAAAAATAGAACAAGTTTCTATTCTTAGATGTAAGATATCAAAGTAACCAGAGAAGTTGCTAGCAACATGTTACCTAGTCAGAAACATTTCATTATTATGATTGAAGTAAAATGAGCAAGAAACATATACAGCATAACTCATGTTGGACACCAGTTCTCTTACTCATTCACTCGAATACAAAGGAATATCTTCAGTATATAAATGGATACTATATAGTGATACTGAAGCTTCAGTGACATGTGTATAGTTCATGTACTACACACCAATGACTATATTTGGTAGTCGAAATTCAATTAAAAAGGTGTTTTAAATAAACACTGGACATTGTACAGTAATTATATGCATAATATTAGTGCATGTTAATAGACTGGTACTAATATACTTACAATATATTATTTACTAATATAATAGTTTATACTTATAATACTAATATACACTTACACTGGTGAGCATAGGAACATTATGAAGTCTCTTGAAGGTGTGAGCATCATCTGTCCCTTGAGCCTGAGGTTAGGAGGTGCGTCAATGTATTGCATACTGGGACTTTGAGTTCCTTTTGCATGAGGACGCATTACAGGCTCCATTGATATCAGCTCAAAACTGCAATTAGTGTGCATTAGGATCTGGAAAGAGAGAGGGGGGGAGAGAGAGAGAGAGAGAGAGAAAGAGAGAGGGAGAGAGAGAGAGAGAGAGGGAGAGAGAGGACAGATAAGGTATGTTAGTGATAGCTACATGCTTATCTTCCCCATTCATTTTCATGATAGCCATGGCAACAGTTCCCATGGCAATGCTCCCGCCCACTCACCGAGTCCCAAGTTAAGATAATACTCCTCGGTTTCCTGTGAGCGAAGGCGTGGTCGAGCCTCCGCCCCTTTAAATCAGGAAGAACGTCGTCCATCTTTGTCCCAACCGTAATGATAGTCAGTTCTCTATCAAACACAATACAGAAAGGGAATATTGAGATAAAGGCAGTGCCCGTCAAGTGAAAACTATCCGCTACTATGCTCGGACGACGAGACTTATAAAACTCCCTGTTATCGAAATTCAATTCCAGAACAACATGGACTCCTTGGTCCGTGTAGTTCTCCTTGAGTATCTCGATATTGAGGTCTTTCTGGTAGATCTTTCCAACGGCACAGAGCTGTCCGGTGACGTAGGGTAAGTACCCTCGTCTCTTAGTCGTGTAATGCATGATCATACCATCAGGGGTTTCATTCTCACAGAAGAAGGACGGAGGACGCATTTTAGGGTAACTGAAACGAAGGTACTCGTGAAGGTCATCCAGCCCATTTAAGAAGTCCCTCATGTCTCGGCCGAGGACACGTAGGAGGCGGGCATACCTGTACAAGTACATGTACATCAATTAGTATACAAATACATGTACGTCAATTAGTATACAAGTACATGTACGTCAATTAGTATACAATGTACGTGATCATGTACTGTAAAGGTGTCTGGAGGTGTGTGTGTATTAGTAATGCAATACCTGAGGACTGAGATAACTGCTTGAGGTGAAGCTGAGGGCAGATATCAAGAGACTCAGGTATTACATTACTAATATCAAGTTATTACATTACTGGGTAAATATATTTTTATTTTATGCTTGCATACCTCCAGGCACATTGGTCACTGCATAATATAATAAATTATAATTAAGTCTTGCATTTTTTTGGTAAATAATCATGCACATACTAGGGAAATTTGTACAAGTGTAGGCATGTACGTATATAAATATAACTTGTGTGATGTGTTATGACACAGGCTCATGAGGCATCTATAATTGCTTTGTTTAGTCTGGTTGGTTCTGCATGGGGTGCAGCTCCAAGTGTATGTGTGTGTGATTGGAAAGAAAAGAATATTAATACCAGCAGACGTTGTGTACCTATTATACTTCATAAGATACAATATACCCTTTCATACTGAAATGATACACTGCGTATAATACAATAAAGTCTTACTCTTTCCTTAAAAAATAGATATCATACAAAACAAATACAAGATGCATACATGCGTAAAGTACAAGTTTGGATTACACGTACATGCACACATGGACAAGCATAAAGTGCATGTTCTTCCTGTTTATGCCCACAGGGTGACAGTGTAACAACACAGCATTGACACAATCCAGTTTCTATTCTCTATGTATGGCATACAGAATCAAACAAAATTTTTGGCATGAAAATACACTGCTTGTAGTAAATAAGATATTTTCTTTTGCTTGCTTTGTCAAGGTGAAGTATCAAAAATGCTGAATTCAGAAAGTGCAAAGGTTAGGGTTTATTTATAAATGGGTGATTGTGTAATGATAATAGTTTATTTAATCTCTGAATACAAAGCAGGTGTTGTATTACCAATGAAACTGGGACAGACATAATTTATTATTATCAATATTAATACAATTTGCACCTAATTAATTTAGGGAGCACTAAAAATGACGAAGATCTAAAATTAACATATCTACATGTACATATCAATAGCACAGATAAAACAAAATTCATATTTAATTAATCACTCACCCGTATCTCCCAATTGTCTGCACAAAGTATTCGCCAAACATCTTCATGACCATGTCCCGTGGTTCGCCTAGAGTTGCAGCAGCAGCATCGACAAGATCGCTCATCACTGAGTCGCTGTAAACTTCATGAGTGACAAACCAGTGATTAGTGAGCTTAGCACGTCTCCTTATTACGATCCAGTAATGTTCACCGTACTTCTCACGAAGGAACTTCTGAATACTGTCCAGGAGGAGTCCATACATTATTAAAGTAGAGAGAGGAGGAGGTGGAATTTGGAGGTGTTAGTCCAGAAGGAGAGCTTTGTATGAATTTAGTTACTCTAGTAACTAAATTCGAAGTACTGAAGAAAAGCAGGAGATTGGAAGTTTAGAGTGTCCTCTTGGTGGAGAGAAAGAGTGAGAAAAGTCCAGAAGCATGGAGTTATATTTACTTGATCCAGCAAACCAGCCCAACCCATCTACATATTACTACACGCTCCTCCTACTCAATTAATTAAGTCAGCCCACACCCATATTAATGGGTGGGGCTATTATTTTGACCACTCCTATTATAAAAACTAAAACTCAGAAAAAAGAAAACTACTGTAAAATGAATGCCATCATCTCTCTCTGTCATTTTTGTGAGTCTCACGGGCCCTCTATACTCTTCTGTACTCAAGTACGCCCCAATTTATGTCTTTAAGATACTATAATATTGATAATGATAAAGTTGAATGACATTAATTATGTTCACTGATGCTCTTACTAACATTAATATCCACCCATTAATGCCCCCAGGCTTTCCATCAATCCCAAGATGCTCAGTTATTGCACGACTCGGCCCCCCCGGGGGACTACAGGGGTCACACTAATTCCGTCGACCCCCTGACTCAGAACCTATCTGCCATCGTTCATCAGCCACCGACCGACCAATGTGACGTACGTAAAAATACACCCACTTTGAAAATACATGTATTTTAATGTTTTTTATTGACCACACCTTTTATAGGCGTGTCGCTCCTTGTCTCCAGGACAACCTGGTTTCATATCATACGACGAATCGACTCAAATCACTTACATCAGCTGTCAGCATCCTGAACAGCAGCAGCTGTATAGTATACTGAGACAAGCCTGCGTCAGGAGGTACATGTATACATGTAGAGGTTAAAGGGTTAAAATTGAAGGAAAGGGTGGGGTCTAACTACAAGTTGCCACTTACCATTGATAATTTTAAAATATCTATGCCACTTATGAAGTTGTGCTTACTAATGGTTTTAGTGAATTTAGTAATGGGGTCTTAAAATGCTAGATTAATTAAGTTTTACTTCATATATTGATTCTTTAGTCTGAATTGTGAGGTTTGTCCTGGCCGAGAAGGTCCGATAGTTTTTGGTGAGGATTCATCCTGTCACACTCTCTCCCACACCTTCAATCTCTGTGACAGACAGGCAAGAGGATTCTCAAGACTGTAAGTAAAACTAACTCTTTATCATCTACCCTCCTCCTCCTCTACATGTACAAGTTCTTCTTGTACATGTACATGTACTGGTAAATTTGCTAGTTAATGATAAAATTTATTTTTGGCCTTTGAAAATTAATTATCTGTTATTCTATTATAATTGTAGATGTGTATATTTTGTGGTGATTAGTTCATTTATTATGTTCTACTAGGTATAGCTTCATTATTGTTATGAGGGATAGGATGTTTCTTGTGAACTCCTGGCCATTTTTAGTGAAGCATCTGCGGAGTCTAATTGACAACCTTCAGAAAAAAGTAAAAACTCAAACAGCAAAAAGAAAATGGAATATTAGATATTGAGAAAGAGAGAGAGAGAGAGAGAGAGAGAACAAAAGGAGAAAAGAGATATAAGCTTTTATAGACAGTGAAAGATGGAGGGCTATCATTTCTTGTAGGCTGAAAAGACTTATTCTCTGGAATCTGACGAGCACAAGTTAACGAGTAGCAGTAGACTCCTCCCTTCTCATGGGGGGCGGAGACTGCTACCCAATCAGACTTATCGCTCTCTTGTTGATCTAACAGGAGATAAAGTAATGACAAAGCATAAAAAACGCTAAAAATATATAATTTTATAAAGTGAACTTTGCGTGTACATGTGCATATATAATCCTATTCCTTTCTTTAGGATATTTATGTTTATCTTCATAAATATTTCATATATCTTATTAAAACTGGCGGAAGACGAATGATGGAGTGCATTGTTGAAGGACCACCTCAAGTAGAATATTCTCCTTCCATTTTCATCTCCTCTACCCTTTCTCTCTCTCTTTCTCTTTCTTTCAAAGGCTATGGCAGTTACTGATTCATTCAAGATGTTATCTGATCAGGAATTGATAGAGAAGCTTGACAAATCTTTACCGTCGGCAGAATTCAGAGTCCTTCAACGTAAGAGAGAGAGAGAGAGAGAGAGAGAGAGGGAATTAGGAGGAGGGAACTGATTAATCTCAATGGCTTTCTTTTTTTTTCTTTGTAGTTGAAGATCAACCCATTTTCAATTCACTCAGACATTTTGTCTCAGTAAGCAATAAAAAGATCCTATTTTTTGTATTATTATTACATGTACTCATTATACTTATACTTATAATTATTTACAGATTCTTGGGAGTGAAGATTTCCCTGAGTTGGCCTATCACATCATGAGAGGTGATCAACTTATTGTACGTGGGAACGACCCCTCTACTGTCATGTCTGTCCTAAATATACTGAAGGTACGAAAAATTAATCTCAAAAAAATTATAAATTTTACATGTGCAATACTCTACCATTATTATTATTATTATTATTATTATTATTATTATTATTATTATTATTATTACTATTATTCATAGGAGTTGGTTCCGGAGAGTATTTGTCGTATTATTGGATTCAGTTCTACCTATCAAGAGTCTTTTGTTGCTGAGTTCTTGGGTCTCTCAGTTGGTGTGAATCTTCCGCGACATATCGTCGATTCTGAACTTCATGTACTTCTTGACATACTCCCTCCATTAAAGGTAGTGTGTGGGTGTGGCAGTGGGTGTGGCTAACAGGGCATTTGTACTGTGTAGAGGTATTATTCAAAGTCAGCTGGGGATCAGCCCAACAGTGTATTGGGTGGAGCTGATATTGTTGAGCCACTAGAGAAGTACAAGCTGATGGTTTACTCGGCTCAACCTTGTCTTCACGATCAAAAATGTAAGAACAATCTTTCTCCCCCCTCTCTCCTTCTACTTCCTTTCTCTCCTGTCTTTCTCCCTTTTCTACCGTCTTTTCTCCTCTCTCTCTCTTTCTCTCCTCTTCTCTTTGTTCACAATCTTGTTTCGTTAGACCCAGTTATAATCCGGAGGCTAATGGCTCTACTAACTGGCGATGGTATATCAGACCAGATGGTATCACGAGGTATCCTAGCACTCAAAGAAGAATGGATGAAGTAATTAATTGCCATTCAATGTACACAGTGTGTATGTTAAGATGATATCATTGAGCTGTATGCTCAGCCTCAGATTGAAGCACAATGGCAGCTTTAGTTCTCATATTGGCAATTTGTCATCTTTTAGCAACTCCTTTGCAATAACCGTTATATATATGAAGATGATTTAAGCTCAATTTTAAACCATTTTGAATCTTCCTCTGATTCTGAATAGTACAGTACATCCTTAATTTGTGAGGCTGTCACAGTGTATTCAGGAGCCCATGATAGAAGAAGGGGAGTGTACCCCCCCTTCTTCTACCATGGGCTCCTGCAGTATTGTAATAATTATTGTATTATTTTTATTTTAATATTTATTTAAATCAGCCTACTCAGGGCATGTTAGCCCATTCAAAAATTTTTTCACTGAGTGAAGTACAGGTTTTGCAAATTTTGACAATGTATACGTCCTTTTTATGCACTGATAATTGTAAAAGGTATCATGGGTTGATCATATTGTGGTTAACACTATGTACTTGTATAAACTGATACACGTGCCATCACTTATAGTTTCAATCTGATAAACTGCAATATCCATGCATGTCTATATATTGCAGCATGTATTTTATCACTTTTCTGTAAAGTGATAGTTTTATTTTAAATTTTTAATATTTATTACTCAGGGCATGTTAGCCCATTCAAAAATTTATCCAATCCAGAATGGATGCAAAAAGATGGAGAGACTGTGACTTTTATACCCTGTTACTTGTAAAAGGTATCATGGGTTGTCTTTAACACTCATGGTACTTGTGTGAATTCCTGCATGTACTGTCTTGTAACTATAAGTAAACTGTATTACATATTCATGTACATGTTTAATCATATGCAGCTTGTGTATTTATCATTTTTCTCTTCTTGACAGTAAAGTGAAGATATTGTACAAGTTTTCTCAGGTTTATCCAAAAGACTCTTTGGAGAATGATGAAAAGTGAGCGACCATTATTAAGAGTTTAGATAATGGTACATTGAGTACGTGTCATTGAGCATACTCAGATCAAAACAAAAATGTGGAACTTTTATTTCGGCATTTTCAAGTTATGAGCATTTTAAAATGGTAGCAAACTTTTGAAAGAAAGCAATCCAAAAATGGCTCCAATATCTCCCCCAATTTTTCATTCGTGAAACTACCAATTATTCTTATATTTTATAATGTTAGTAATTTTTATTCTTGTGTTTCTCAGATTAAATAAATTAGTGAAAGAAGTGTTGTTTGTAACACCTGAAGATATGCCAATCTTATTGCACTGGAGATCAGCACTGAGGAAAGACTACAGAGCTCATTTATTACAGAAATAACTTTATTTTTATCATCAATAATATAATAATAATAAGTATTTTATTGTCATTATTATTTAAATTGGATTATTTTAAAGATGCGTGGGTGTTAGCTGAAAGCGATAATGAAACGAGTGGGCGTTGCTGGTCATTCTAGTACACGGAAGAGTACGAAGTACTGACAATATTCGGAGGTAAACGGACTTTATCCCAAAAAACAAACAAGAATGAGTGGGGCCCTCACTCCAGAGCAAAGCGAGTCCTTGGATAAGGTAAGGGTTTAATGGCTACTCTTTTAGTATTTTAAAGTACCGATTAGTTTCGCATTGAAGCTCAGAAACTTCCAGACAAGCCAGAGGAAAGTGACGAATATTATTTAAGATGGCTAAGGGGTGAGTTAATCAGCTCTTCTGTACAAATCAATTGCAAGGATCTTCTCTTTAATAGCCAGAAGTTTCAATGTGTCGGCTTCTTTAGAAATGCTCAAAAAGGTGAGATGCAACAACGGGTTAATTTTATTTGGGCTGAAATTCATTAATTATCATTATTAATTAGTATTAATTATCATTTAATAATTTCCTCTTGTTGCGTTTTAATTGGTTAATGATGAGTGCGATTGTGTGTTTTTGTAGCATTTAAAATGGAGGAAAGAAGTAGATGCTGACAAAATATTTGACTGGACTCCACCAGAGGTATACTTCAACCATTAAAAATCTACATGTACCTGTAATTTTAAAATAATAATTTCAGTTATAATAATTAATGATGTTATTAATGAAAGTGAAACTTCAATTTCTGACTAAGAATTGCTGTAATTATAAGTACATTATACATCCATTGAAATAAGTAAATCAGCATATACTGGTACATCCATAAAAGGACCAACTGTTACTAGTATCAAGAGTGTACAACACTGCTATTAAAGGAGTGCATCCATATTCCTTGTAGTATTTATGTATTGAGTAGAAATATCAGCCAAAATTATAACAAAGACCAGAATTCTACATTGTATTTTGTCATTATTAATTAATGATAAAGGCCTCTTGATATTTTGTTGGTTCAGTGACTATTAATATGAATGTACAACTGTATATTAAAGACTACTATAATTAGATACTTGTTCTAATACATATAATTTATAAGGTGTACATGTACATGTACATCCATTCTATCAAGAGGTACATATACATGTACTTTACCTTATAAATCCAATCTATTACTTCATTAATGTACTTCTTTCAATTCATTTCCTCATAAACTACTTTATGTCTATTGATTGGTATGACAGATACATTTTCTATTTCAAATCATTTAAACTTCTTTATGTCTATTGATTGGTATGACAGATGCATCTTCTATTTCAAATCATTTAGCAGCCATTTCTTAAGCTATGGCACCCCTGACAATATTTATAATTGCATTTTATTGAAGACTTCATTAAAGGATTTCACAGGAAGCCCTGGCTCATTTTAACACATCACAAGCCACCATCTGATAATTTGTAACACTTACCTGCTGTCTGACAGGGCTGCTGGTAAAAGCCTATGATTAATAATTCACTGGAATATCAGCTGGACATTATAACAGCTCTTATAGTGATACTGAGATATTGCATTTGTACTGTATAGCTGTTAATTCTGAGTCATTTTTCTTGCCTCTTTACTGAGGACACCATTTTATAAAGGACACCATTGACCTTCTATTATTATAATGTACATATTTACTTTCATACTCTGAGAGTTGACTATCAGAGAGTTGTACTGTTTTTGTTACACTTTCATTGTACCAGTATAATCTTCACTTATCATAACCACTTTACATCTACATGTACTTTATTCTTTGTGTTTCCTCTTTTCTATTTTATTTCTTTTTCTTACAGATTATTTTAAGTCTGATTCTTTCTTGTAGGTTCTCCAGAAATATTTTCCAGGAGGTTTCTTTGGTGAAGATAGAGATGGTCATCCAGTGTATTATGACTTCTATGGAAACATTGATACTAAAGGTATTAAATATAATGACCAGAGAATTAATAGTAGGTCTAATTCATTGTCACTAGAGGAAGTTTAGGAGACTTTTCGTCTGTCATATTTAGCCTAAGTATCCTCCTTAAATCTTTCACAATTTATTTCTAGATCTTACAAAAGACTCATTATGTTCAATAATGTTTATTACAGCGGTCCTTTAATTTTATTTTTAGGCTTTCATCGCTCGACCAAAAAGGCCGACATTATAAAACTTAAAAT